CAATTGATGAAACCTGTGAAGGAAAATATGACAAAACTTTCGAAAACGTCATATGTCAGCGAGCAACAGAAAAAAACAACATTCCCCTTTGTGGCATCTGTCTTTCATGGCTTCATTTTTTGGGCAGATATGTTAATGTGCGCGCATTCCAGTTTTTGGCTATAGTTCATTGGTGGCGACAATTGCTGTCTTATTTTTGATTGGTTCTAAAATCCCATAAACCCTTTTCACGTGGCTCCGGTTTAACAAACCGCAACATACCGCTCAAATTCGAGTGGTAGGTATCCATCACGTCAATTTGTAACCGGGTTAAAAAACGGTATGTCATTTCTCTAACCGTTTTGTAAGCCGGTTAGTTAAACCGGAGCCACGTGAAAAGAACTATATATTTATAATAGGTTTGTTCCAACCTGCAATAATATTACTGTAATATTATCGTCCGTAACCGCGCTAATGCGACTGCGCAATCAAAAACAGTAATATTATACTGAATAACTTAAAAACTTGTTGGAACGTTTTTTGAACTAGTAGTACTCACAACACAAGATGAAAATAACAAAATCAACATAAAGCTACATCCTCAATCAATCTGGTAGCGAAGTGGCACTTTGGCACGCGTGCTGGGAAATTGATACCCATCCTCAATGCTGTCAATTTTCAGTCTGCTGTGCGTGTAGTACGGTCTCATACCATGCGTTCGGTGTTTTGATCTGTGTCCTCTGAGCATGAATTTACCGTTCATTTATTTAAAAAGTGAACTCGGTGCAGGCTCATTCACGGTCGTTTAATAAAATTTCGAGCCTCTGATACAGCGTTTAACTGCTCTGTGCGCTCGCTGGTCACGTGATTACGACTCCGCTCTGCTCTTTGAGCAAAATACCGAACGCAAGGACAACCTAAATTATTTTTTACCGTACTGCGCATGACATAAGTCGGCACGCATCGAAAAAGATTGCAGCTTGCAAGCTTGCACTTCGAAATCGGCGTGCATGCCAGCACGGAATTGAATTGAGAATGCCAACGTTAAACTACATTTTCCTAGCTTGAGTGCCGAAGTGCCACTTCGCTACCAAATTGATTGAGGATGGGCCTTAACTTGCGTACTTGCAGGTGAATCATCTTCCACCACAATAAGGAATTCTTCTAAACCTAATATAAGACAAAAATCAGATTTATCAATTCTGAGAACAAATAAAATAAAATTACTTAGCTTCTATAGCAGTCATTTTCAAATAAATAAATTAAATAAACAAAAAACTGAGGTTCTGGGTTATGTATTATTATTTGATTGTTGTTGTACAACCACTGACCCGTTTTCGACCTCACTATGCATGCGTCTAATTTTAGAACCAACAGTTCTTCCTATCAAGCAAGAATCGTTTGAACCGTAATTTTACTATCCGTAACTCCGGTTGGAACGACGAACTGTCAATTATCGCCAATTCTAAATTAGTAATTTTAACTGGTTGGAACAGTATTTCACAATTGCGCATGTGTGCCAGTAATATTACTGGAAATTACTGCCGGTTGGAACAAACCTAATAATTGTATTCCTTTCAAGAGCTTGAAACACTAGAGCTACTCGCTCCGGTGTTAGTCGACCCCGATTTGAAAGGAACAGATGCGCTGGCTTTCATGCATTTGAATGGTTTGAGTCGAGCTTGAGCACTCAAGTGCAACAAACACTTTTCGAAAGGAATAAGGGCGTTACGCCCCAGAGCTGTTCCGGAGCGCCTCCTAGGTGTGAAAGGAATACAACTATACTGCTGAAGCACAAAAAAGTGCTTCTACTCCGTATGCAACACGCTATTTTTCTTCAAACGAATGGGGTAAGCTCGGGGGTAACTGAATGGTTCAGTGGCAGTAAAAGTACGAGCGGTACCAAAAGTAATTTTGCTGCTGCTCCAGCGGCGCTAAAAGTACTTACTTTTACTGCCGCTACGGTTGCCTAGCAGCATGGAAATTAATGTCGATTAAAGGCGATTAACCAGTCGGTTATATTGACAGATAAACGATGCATTTAACGTCATTTATAACCGATTGGTTGACAAATGACGTTTGCTTCATTGATTATCTGTCAACTATGACCGACCGGTTAATCGCCTTTAATCGATGTAAATGTCTACCACCTCGACAGGCGTTAACCCGCTAGATTTGCCTAGCAGCATAGAATTTAAATTAAATTTTATCTTGATAGGTGTTAACAAAAGGGGTTTTCGAGCGCTTGACCGGTAAATACCGCAGTCATGCCCTTGGTTGTCCTGGGTCACAGTCCTTCGACGTTTGTTTCACAGTTTATTGTCAAAGCACTTCCAAAACGCTTGAAATTAGTTGGTTATCATTTTGGTTTTGATTTATCAAATTTGTCTGCTTCTCCCTTCCCCTCAATCCCCTTGTATTTGTTTACATTTTAGGCTCTAACCAAACAATTATATTCTTATTATTTTCCAAGTAATTTTCTATTTTCTGGTTCGCTCGTTTCTTTCAAAGATGAAGATGCATTTAATATTCCTTGGGCTGTATCCATATCGTCGAAGTTGAAAATCTTTTCCTTCATAGTTCTCTTCTATCCATTTAAATTACAAATTTAAAATACTGAAACTGGGACTGGACCACTGGACTAACACAACCGCAAATGCAAATTGCAAATAACAAAATAAACAAAAAAGAAAAAGAAACGTTCACCATTAATTTTTTCAAATGTAAGTCAATTGTCATCAACAAATGGTGGGAGGTGAAAAACAGGTCGAAAGTTGTGTAAATACCGGTAAATACCGCTGCTTGTCAATGTCGAAGAATAACGTCAAAACGAAGACCAAGGGCTCGTTTTTAGCCACGAATTACCAAACCGCTTAAATTAAATTGGTAAATACCGACAGTAAATGGTATTTACCGGTCAAGCGCTCGAAAACCCCTAAAGTGACGTTTTTTTGACGCTTGGAGAAAAATTATATAAAATCTGTTTTTTTTTTAAAAGATAATGGGCTCTTTCACTAATTTTTGAAATTGGCATATTTGGATAAAGCAACTAAAAACAGAATTTTCTGTATTTTTACTTTTGAAAAATTCAAAGTCCTTCTTGAGAAAACAGAAAACAAAGAAATACCTCCAAATAAAAACCCAGAATTTATTTCTATGACGTCGCAGCTCGCAATTTGACCGTGTTGCCACTAATTGTCAACATTGAAAATGTGTAATAGATTTAATTCTGAAATGTTGGCAAAATCTCATGAAAAGTAGTTAAATTAATTAGTTATAGATTCAAGATTTTATAAATTTTTTTTTTTAAATTATGCTTAAATACAATTTAATGCAATTTTTTATGTTTAGTTTTATTTATTTATTTTACGCTGCACTACATTTAGTCACAACCGACAACAGCGCATTCGAACCTTTACGTATCTTTACAGAGCGCAAACACAGCCGAGCCCTTCCTCCTTGCAACGACATAAGCGAAATGAAGAATATTTATGTGACGTCGGCAAATCGGCGCGTTTTAAAATAGTTTGAATTTAGGCACTTTTGATTGCCTATGAAAAACTTATTGAACCTTGTAGAACATTTTTTTTTTGGTATATATGCCTAAAATAGTCCCTCCTTTGAGATTTTATACTTAAATTACGTATTTAAATTTTAGTGAAAGAGCCCATAGACAAAGAGGAGACAATACGAAAACTTTATTAGATAGAAAAAGACGCAGAACGCTTATTGCGCAAGACGAGGCAAAATGTACCAAATTATAATAGACTTACGTATAGCAATCCGTTCCTATTATTTGCACAGGATAAAAAAGGAAGAAGAAAAATCGGGTGACGTGCAACGTATTTGTCAATCAAAAACACAAACAATTGAAAATCGATCACTTGTCAAGCTACGTCAAGTTGAATATCAAACATAATTTTATCCTTGTCAGACTACGGGCAATGAACAATGACAAGGGGATGCCCAGCGTGTAAAAGGAATACTTCACACCTGTACTAGTTAGCCAATAAAAATGCATTGCCTCGTGTTGCGCGCGCATACAGGTAAAAATAGATAGGTCTATTCCCCAAGGCAAAAATTTAGTAACTATGTTGGCAACACAAACCTTTTCTACACAAAAAATTTGGAAGCATTGACAATTTTACGTATTGCCATTGCCAACATAATGTCATTTTGACTTTTATCTTTAAAAAAAAAACAGATTTTAATAACAAAAAAATATTTTTTAAAATATTAATAACAATTTTCAGCTATGTTGTAGGCTTAGTTGTAGGTATACATAATCAAAACCTAGAGTGCGTTACTTCGAAATCACCCTGGGCGTCATACCTAGTGCACACTACAGTGGCTAAATAAACCTTTACATACAGTGGCGACAATAGAGGTCCCACCGCCATCTTGTTCCCAACCTCTTGTTAATTTTAAATATTAATATATAGGATTTAAATGGACATCTATCATAAAAAATTGAAACCGACGTATTTGATGACCATTATTAGGTCCATCAAATACGTTGTTTTCCATGATTTATGATGAATGTTCACCTAAATCCCATATATTCATATTTAAAAGTAACAAAGGGTTGGAAACAAGATGGCGGTGTTTTCAATATAAATATATGGGATTTCAAAACCAATCAAAAATGAGACAGCAATTGTCGCCACTGTGGGTTATAGAGTCACTGTAGTGCACACCAGCCATGAATAATTCATGGCTGGTGTGCACTCGGTGTCACGACTAGGGCGATTTCGAACGCACTCCTAATGTAGGATCTCGCTACTTGATTTCCTTTTTCGTTCTCTACAGGTTTTCGAGCGGTAGATGATGATAAACCGGAAGACACTGGATTTATGAGAAATGCTTATATTTTGTTTACCTTCTGTTAATTTTGAAATGTTTTGAAACGATCCGGGGCAGACCGGTCAAAACCGGTCGATCCACCGGTCAAATCTGAAAACGCCCTCACTGTCTTGTCTTATGTCAGTTCCTGTGTGTCAGTTATGTCGTCTTACTCCTAACCCTAACCTTAGATTTTTGATTTTGATCTTGGATTGGCTTGAGACGATCCTTGATCCGTTCCGTTCCGTTTGTAGTTTGCATCGTTCAAGCTCAATTAAATGTCTGTGTATTATTTCTCAGTTTGAAAGTAAATTTTTAAGCAAAGATGGGCACTAATCAACAATTATCAGCTGTCGAATCCGAACTGTACGATCGCCAAATCAGATTATGGGGCGTTAAATCGCAAGAAAGGTAAAATTACTCATTTACATGTACATGATTGAATAGGGTTGCCGGCGTCCTGGGTTTCGCAGGATGTCCTATGTCGTGCGTCCTGCCGAAATTATCCGCAGGACGCTAAATGTCCTGCATTTCATAAAATCCTTATTAAGAATACAAATAAAACATTCCTGCTATTTTGGCTCATTTAATAAATTTATTTCCTACTGAACTATTATAACCCTATAATACCTTGGTTACGATAATCATAAACAGGTTCTTAACTCCCAAGGGAGTTAAGGATTTCCATAACTCCCGCTTTTACCTTGAATATGTGAAACTTTCACAAAAAATAGAAATTTTGGTTTATGGTTTATTTCTTTATAAAAAATGGACAAAATACAGTAAATTCAGTAGGAAATAAAATTATCTATGGACCACGGGAATTATCAGGTGTTAATACCCACGGGCAATAGGTGTCCCTGAAGGACACAAACTTTGCCCTGGGGTATTAACACCCTCATAATTCCCTTGATACATAAATAACTATAACAAGAGGCAACAACAACAAGGAGGAATGTACTTTTTCAAAAAAAAATATTTTCCTCATAGTTTTTTGTAGAGACAGAAATGATCAGTATTTTTTACGACATTCTTTACACTGCTATTGACTGCTTTGTACCAAAAAAAAGCTTCCCCTTTGACCTAAAGGACCTATGTAATAATCAAAAAGAAAGAAGCACACAGAACCTGGAAGCGGACTGGTTCTCCTAGTGAGTATGACAACTTTTCGAATCTTCGCACTCGGTGTAAGACTCTTTCAAAGGACTCGTATCTGAATTATGTGCAGCGCTCTGAAATGTCACTGCTAAATGATCACAATCTCAAACACTTCTGGAATTTTATCAGTTTCAAGCGAAAAGCAAATGGTTTGCCCTCCCACATCTATATAAACTGGTCAACATTAAGTTTGGTCCATTCAATTTTGTGCCCTATTTTTAAACAGCTGTAACTTTTTTAAAAATAAATATTTTTAAACGCAGTTTGCGGCTTTCAAAAGCGCGTTTCTCCTAGATTAGGCTACATGTCACACATTTTTGGTTGGAAAGGTATTATCATGATATACGGGGTGATAAACAATGTCATGCAAAAAAGCATAAATTTCGTGTGTGTGACACTTTGGCAAAAAAATTTTTTAGTTGCTACAATATGGTTCGTTACTAAGATAACATCAATATCTCTAGACGTTTTTGTCACTTCTTGGATTTAGGCACAGCCTCCTATAGTTAACAAGCCATGAAATTGGAAATGACGGCAACGTCGCATATGGTGCTATTTTGTTATTGGGTTATGTGTTTCTGTGTATTGCTTTCATTGTGTATTGTTGCAATTTAGTATTTTTATGGGCATTATTGACGAAAAAGTGGATAGAAACACACCAATATATTGCCCATATTTAGTTGATACCTGTTCCTTTCTGCTTTGATTGCAAATTTTTAGCAAATGGGTACAGAAGCAAAAATGAAGGTAAGGTAAGGTAAAACAATAAAAACAATATTAATATTTGTCTGCAAGAGCATAGGTCTCGATATATTACCTAAGATATTTAAACTTCTTCCAGATGCCATGAAACTACTGTGTTCCTGGGTGCAAATCGAACTATTAGGAGTTCCTTAAAAACTGAAGAAATGCAAACATTTTTATTTCCAAAAAAATTCTGAAGTGCAAAAAATGTGGATGAAAGCAATACACCAAGATAATTATACCCGAGATTATACAATAACGAAAAATTCTGTGGTGTGTTGTAAACATTTTGAAGAAACCGAAATAATTAGATTTGAAACAAACAAGGATAAAGGCGTAGTTCGAGAGTTCAAACTAAAACGTCCAACTCTTAAAAGTAGGTACCTCTTATTTTCGAAAATCAGCTCAAGTATTTGAATGGACTTGCCTTCCGAAAAAATCCTGAAGAAAGAAAAAGTTAGATTTTCAAAAGACATACTGAAACATAGGCCTATAACACTTTAGACTCTAGAAATATATTCATTTAAATCAATTATTTACTGTTCTTATTTACACAAATAGTTAAATTATTCATTGAATTACTGTTTTTGGCCCTTTAGTACAATAAATTATGTAGTTTTTGTGATTCATATTAATAAAATAAAAAATATATATTTATACAAACTAACACCACCAGCACCACTTGGCGGTAAGATTGCGGTGTTGCCTTTTTAACTTCATGGCTTGTTAAATGTAGGGGGCTGTGATTTAGGCCCTTTGGCCTTAGATACACTGACACTTTCCGTATGAGGGGCGAGGGGGTGAAGCATATGACAAAAACAGGTGTGACGTCAGGTGATTTTTGGCATTCTAATGTAGGGAGCCACCAGCTTTGGAGTATCAGATTAAAATCGACGGACTGTAACTGATACAAGATAAAAATTGCAGTTGACGCAAAATGTCATGCCATAGAGTTTTATGCTAAATAGGGTTCCATGACACTATTGGTCCATCGTTGTTATGGAAACCTATTGCTATAAAGGATTCCATACACCACCGGCGAGATTTTTCGTACCGTTAGTGATTTTCTTCAACCAAAGCCAAATTCACCATAAAAAAAAAACTGAATTTAATTCAGCTAATAAATACGTTAACACAACATTTAATAGGTATATTTAATAATTCAGAGGCGGTACGAAGTTCGCCGGGTTAGCTAGTGTTTTATAATAGCAACATCGCGGAAAATGGTTCAGAGATAGCTAATCTCTTTGCTGAATACTTTCATTCTGTTTATTCCAACAAAATCTGTGTTGCTAGTCAGGTCATCTCTCGGAGCGATGCACATATTCATGAATTCAATATTTCAATATCAGTTATTTATGAAGAACTATGTCGCCTGCAGTCTTTCAATGGTCCAGGCCCAGACGGTATCCCAACTCTAATGATCAAGAATTGTAGCTTTATATTATCCCATCCACTTTTCATCGTGTTCAATAAATCACTTAACTTGGGTGAATTCCCTAAGCTCTAGAAACAGAGATTCATTATACCCATTCATAAATCGGGTGATAAAATGGATATTTCAAAATACAGGCCCATTAGCATCCAAGACACCTTCCCAAAGGTATTTGAGAGCTTAGTGACAAAGTTTTTAACTCCAAATATCAATCCCTAGCTAACTGAGCAGTAGGCCGGTTTCCGCCCAAAATGCTCAACTGCTGATCGGTTCACTGCATATATACCGATTTCGCAGGCTTTTGACCGTAATGACCATCTCAACCATGCCGTTCTGCTTGCTAAGCTTGAAAGTGCTGGAATCTCCGGTACTTATTTGAAGTGGATTAGCGACTATCTTGGGGAGAGAACTCAAATAATCAAAGTCAACAACTTCTTCTCACACGCCATTGACATCCCATCAGGCGTTCCAAAGGGTTCTCACTTGAGACCCCTGCTTTTCAACGTTTTTATTAACGATATCAAGTCTTGTTTCATTCGCAGTGAGTTTAAGGGGATTCACTCTGACCTTGACAGACTCTCTGAGTGGTGTGTTTTGAGCGGCATGGATCTCAATGCTTCTAAATCAATTTTATCGCCCATATCACGACAAGGTGGTTAAAACTTGTAGGCTTCGTTAAGAGGTGTTCGAGAGACTTTAAAACAATCTTTACTAGCATAGATTCTATGAGATATAAAGTCTGTTTTTTTTTTAAAGATAAAAGTCAAAATGAGATTGTGTTGGCAATATAATGTAAAATTGTCAATCTATATATATAAAAATTAATGCCACTTTTCGTTGTAATTATATAACTCAAGAACGGGCTCATCTAGCCAAACCAAATGTTTAGGCTTTGTTCGGACTATTTATTAGATGGTTTATGTGAAGTTTGCACAAAATCGGTTATGATGAGAAGAACAGGGATAAAAGAACAAAACAGCAGCTTCGAGCGTTTACTCGAACTCTACACATAATAAATACCCGTTAGCTGTGTTTATCCACGTTTTTCTCTAATTTTTTAAAATTTTATCATTTATTAGAATTGGTTTACTTAGCTTAAATTTATTGATTAGCTCAGCATCATATAAATAAAACGATAAACCTATTAATTATGACCGAAGAAAGAAATTCCAAAGTCCAATCCGACAATCTGTAATTTGTGATATGTTTATGGTAGCAAAAGTAAGTATGTGCGGATCTTTTTTTCCATTATAACTATTCTATGCAAATAACGGTGGAAAATGTGTAAATCAACCAAATTTAAATACAATAAAGTATGAAGTTTGGCGACAAGGTGACACAAAATCATACTACGTGACGTCATCCAGATTCGCGCGCATTTAAGGTCGTTTTAAATCCTTTTAATTCACGCGAAACTTCAAATATTTTTCACCAAGTTATTATTGAGTTTTAGGGAATAATATTTGAGGAATACTCCTTCAAGGCATAAATAAATGATTTAAAAAAATTTTAAAAAATTTAAAAAAATTTAAAAAAAATTGTAAAGTTCCCTATTATTCAATAAATGGAGGATCATTTTGTTAATGGGGATTTTGCTGTCATATTGAAACTTTTTTCAGCGTTGACAGTACCAGCATGTTGTTATGTCATTAATGTGGTCATTTCATTAAAGTCTGTTTTTTTTTTTAAGATAATTCCCCAAGTCAAAAATTTAGTAACTATGTTGGCAACACAAGCCTTTTCTACATAAAAAATTTGAAAGCGTTGACAATTTTACATTGTATTGCCAACATAATGTCAATTTGACTTTTATCTTTAAAAAAAAAACACAGTTTACTTATTTATTTATTTATGAAAAAAATTTACTAAGCCCGCATACGGCGCCATCTCTTATAACCGTTATAACCGACACAAAGTTTATTTTGTATTTTGTTGTATTTACAATGCTGCTCAGGAACTGGAGCTATTTCGAACAGAACTATTCCACTATTCCGATCAGATAGAGTGGTGCAGAAAGAGTAGATCAGATAGAGTAGTGCAGATAGAGTAAAACAGATGGAGTAGTGCAGTGCAG